TGTTTTGCAGATTCTACGTTATTCTTTAGCGTTGCATAGTATTCCATTGTGTGTATGTACCATAGTTTGGTTATCCATTTACATATATTTTTAACACCTAATTTAGTTAAAGACTTTTTGCTTTTTGAGTTGCTACATAAAACATGCTATGAGTCTGGGTTCTTTGTCAGGAAAGAATGAAAAAAATAAACCATTTTTAATGATTGAAAATTTGCTCTGGAATTAAGAGTTTAAAATAATACCTTTTGCGTTTTCAAGTATCAGAAAACTATTTGATGATCTAAGTATATAAGAAATGCTGTTAGAACAAAATTTTAGCTTCATTTCTGAAGGTTTTAGATACCCCAATCTACAGAAGTAAATGAAACTCAAACAGGCTAACCAGAGCAAAGAGAAAAGTGTTGTTTGTCAGGCCAACAAGATATGAAGATAAAAGTAGAATTAAGCTCTCAACATTTCTAAATAATTTGTTTTTCCCCAAAAGATAGAATGATTATGAAAAGGCCACTGGAACACGTGCAAACTGGAAGAACTGAGAAGTAGTTTGATTGCTGCCACTAAGTAGCTAAATTACATTTGCAAAACTGCTTAGTAAACAATTACCTGGCCACTTAAATTTTAGTGCTGTAATTCTATGCTTTTAATATTATTAGTAACAGTCTTTTGAGTCTATATGGATTTGTTTCCTTCTTTTAGACTGAATGACTACTGAAAACTTTTCATTTCCTTTTTAGTTTATAGGATTATTTTTCTGTTTAATAATTTCCAGTGCGGAATGCTTCTCATTGGGATCGCAGTGAGAATGTAATTAACTCTCATTTTTTTTTCATTTTATAAATTTGATAAGTGATATTGGGAAAGGAAATATTTATATCTGTGCTGTTTTGTCTTTCTTTGTAGTTGGACAAATTTGCCAGCATACGAATTCCAGGGAGCAAGAAAGAGAGACCACCACTTTCCAACCTTAAGACTGCATTTGCAAGTAATGATTACTCATCAGCATGTTCAGAGATGATGGAAAGCAATGCAAAGCTACTGACAGAGAACGAAGTCTTAGAGCTTTTTGAAAAGATGATGGTAAGGATTTTAATTCACTGCAGTGAATTATCAAACCCAGCAAAGAGGTGGTGGGTGCCACAGGAGGGGCAGTTGTTGTCAAGATTGGTAAGAGGGCTGGAGGGTAGTGGGATGTCTGGCTTCTTGGGAATAGGCCTTGGGCTACTGATGGCAATTCTGTTTTCCTCTTATGTAGTTAAAAGTGGTCAAAAGATGCCTCTTCCTTGCCCCTTTAGCAGTTCTACACTTGTCTTCCATTCTAACTGGGAACTTTTAATGTGTCCCTGGTCAGAGTGGTCGGCAGTGGTAGCTGGGCACCATCTAATCCTTCTGGTCTCAAGCTAGAGGAGGTTGTGGTTCAAGTGGGTCACTTGTCGTGTGGACTGATTGCTTCTTTGAGTCTTTGGTTTCCTTCATTCTCCTTTGCTCCCGAAGGGAGGAGACCAATAGTTGTATCTTAGATGGCTGCTCTCAAGCATTTATAACCTCAGACACTACTCACTAAACTAGGATGTAGAACATTATCTTTATGAACTATATTATGCCAATTGACTTACATGTCCCCCGAGGTCTATAGGGCTTTCTTGGCTTGGCTATAATCTTCTTCTTCTTTTTTTTTTTTTTTTAATTAAAATTTTTATTATGATTTGGGTGAAAGTTTACAGAGCAAATTTATTTTCCATGCAGCAGTTCATACGCATTTTGTTTCATGACAGTGACTGCAATTACCCACAATATAACAGCTGCAATTTCCCTCTTCCTCACTGTAGTTATTTCTTCCCTGTGTCCTTTCTGATGCATTCATGACCCCTAAGCTATCTCTCTGTTCACAGCAAACACTGAAAAATTAAATGAATAAGAAATGCCAGAAGGTAGTATTTAATGATTTTTTTTTTTAAACAACTAAAGAGTACAAAGAAATTACCTTAATTTTAAGGATAGTTAATTAGCTTCAAGGGAAACAAAAATAGAAAAAATATTCTAGAAGTCTGGGGAAGTTTTAGGGAGAAAGTGAACTAGAGCCATGTCTTAAAGGAAGATAGGATTTGGATAAACGGGCATTCTTTTGATGTGAGGGACCAGCAATGAGCATAGACACAGAGCTAGGGTACAGATAACTCATGGGAGGACCAGTAGGAGGTTGGAAAAATTAGATTGGAATGATAATTTGAACAGATTATTGTGTATGCCATCCTGATCAGCTTTGTATTATTTCAGAGTTGTAATTTATCTTATACAAAGCTTTCTTATATTGGTTCTGAATGGCTTGTCCATATTTTGCTTATAAGGGAAATTATTGCAACTACCTCTTTAGTTTAGAGTTTAAGATATGCTTGAAATTTGAAAAGAAGTTAATAGATAACCTCTTCATTGTTTGCTTGAAATTTATGGTGTATTTGCCATTGACAGATAGCTGCCGTAGAGTCAATTCTGACTCATGGTGACCTCATGTACAATGATAAAATGTTACCTGGTTCAGTGTCAGCCACACGATAGCCAGCATGTTCGAGTCCATTGTTATAGCTATTGTGCCAATCCACCCCACTAAGGGTTTCCCTCACTCTTTTCACCAGACCTTCTATAGCAATTGATCTCTCTTAATAAATAATATGTCCAAAACAAGTGACTTGGGCAGGGTTCTCTTGTGATCCATAAGATTTTCTTTGACTAATTTTTAGAAGTAGATTGCCAGGCCTTCCTTCCTGGTCTGTCTGAGTTAGAAGCTCCACTGAAACCTGTCCACCATGAGTGATCTTGGTACTTGAAATAGGGGTGGCATGGCTTCCAGTATCTATACTAACACACAAGCCACCAAGTGGACAAACTGATAGGTGGATGGTAGGTAGTTTTGATTTTACATTGCCTTATTTTCTGCTCATCAAGTATTTGTGCTCAGTATTACACATGGAGCTTCAGAAGATCCTGGAGAGAAAGAATACATAGTTTGGGACTTCACAGAATGTTTCATTAGTATCAGTGATTTCTAACTTTTCATTACTGACCATACCTTTTATTAGTATTTATTTGTATGAGTCATAGTTTAGGAAAACATTAGCTATTATGTTAGTTCTTGATGAAGTGCTGAGTTTGTTTTTAGTTAACCATGCATGGTTATCTCTTTTGTAACTCTTTTATCACCACGAGTTGATATAATTTCAGCCAAGAACAAAAAAAACATTTTTTTCTCCAGCTTTTGCATCTGTTGATGATGTCTGTATGAAGGTAGTTCTGCTCTCTTCAGTACTGCCTTGGAGGACTCAAGAGAGTAAAGTGCTCCTCATATGTATATCCTGTATGGGACCACTCACCTAAATTATCTGTGAGACTCTTTTTTGTGACTACCAGTTGCCTTGTTCCACCACTTTCCCGTCAGTTTGTTGTACTGTGGTGACTTGCATATTGCTGTGAGGCTGGAATCTATGCCACTGGTATTTCAAATACCAGCAGGGTCACCCGTGGTGGACAGGTTTCAGCAGAGCTTCCAGACTAAGAAAGACTCAGAAGAAGGAAGGGCTATGTACTTCTCAAAGAATTGACTGGTGAAAACCTTATGACTAGCAATGAAACTGACCGATACATTACTGGAAAACTTTTTTCAAGTATTGGAGGCTAGCACAGGCCTGGGCAGTGTTTTGTTCTGTTGTTCATAGGGTTGCTATGAATCCGAGCTGACTTGATGGCACCTAACAACAACAAGAACAACAACAACAGTTGCCATGTTAAAAATTTTGGAGGGGATCGTAATTATTAGTGCCACCTAAGCCAGTAGCACATTGAAGTTAAACATTTACAGAGGCCACATTTAATTATCAGCTGTTAAAAGTACAACTACCTAGAAAATACTGAATATAGTTTATGGTGTTCTGTTCTGAATAAGATCACTTTAGAAATATTTTTTGGTTAGTCTTTGGCAGGAGAAAGGTACAATTATCAATTTTAGCAGTATAAATAGGGCAGGTGGATATTGACATTTCTGAAGCATTTACAGAACACATATTTAATGACTGGGCCAGATCACTTGTTAAACCTTAATCAAATCTCCCTGTTGGCAGCAGATCTTTTCCAATGAAACTCTCACTTTACTCCTCAGAAGTAAAATGAAATTGTTTCTTAGGGGTGCCTAATTAGTTAGGGAATGAGTTAGTCACAACTAAGGACATTTTCTAAAATAATGAAGTTTCTATTCTTCTTTTTCTTATTCTTTGACCATATCATAATTGTAGGGAAAACCTGCTGATGATTCTGAAGTCCAAGAGTCTTTGAAGCTGAGACGGGTCTTTTTCTTATTTAAATATGCATTAGTGGTGTTTCTCTGGCTTTTAAGAATACCATATTTTATGGTAATGGAAATTTAAAGCTGTTTCTTTATCTGTGCAGATGCTAGCTTTAAACCGGATTTGATTTTTGGCTAGTATATTTCTATAACATTTTTATTGACAAAAATTCTTTTGAAAAAGCAACATTCAATAATAAATCAGTCATTTTAACCTTTTCTTGTTGTACTTAAGCTTCATACCATTTAAAATTTGCATCTTACTTTTGTCATTATGGAATTTAAAAAACAATTCTTCTTATTTAACATTATCTAAAGGAGCCATGATAGCACAGTGGTTAATTGCTTGGCTTCCAACCAAAATGTCGATGGTTTGAACTCACCAACCACTCCCTGGTAGAAAGATGTGGCAGTCTGCTTCCGTAAAGACATAAAGCCTTGGAAACCCTACAGGGCAGTTCTACTCTGTCGGACAGGGTTGCTGTGAGTCAGAATTGACTCAAAAACAGTGGGTTTGGTTTTTGCTCTGGTAGCATAGTGGCTAAGGCACTTGACTGCTAAGCAGAAGGCTGGTGGTTCAAACCCACCAGCCACTCCTTGGAAGGAAGTTTGGGCAATCCTACTTCTGTAGTGATACTGCCTCGGAAACCCAAGGAGGGGCGGGGACTGGACAGCACATAACAACAACAACAACAACAAAAATATGTAAATAAATTTTAGATAAAGTAAAAGGTTTGCTAGGAAGAACATCCTTTTTCCTCCTTTAATACAGTCTTTTTAAAGACAGTATGCTGAATTGCTTACTTAATGAATTCCAAGTACAGGAAGTCCTGGATGTATGAAGGAGATCTATTCCTAATCTAACAGGTCCATACAGTACTTATTTAGCCACACCTTAGTGCAAGAAAAGGCTCAAAGCTTTTTCAATGATTTGAAAGCTGAACTTGCAGCAAGTAAATGGTGATTGTGATCAAGGATTTGTTGCAAGTAGGGGTTGGTTTATTTGGTTTAAAGTGAGTGCAAATTTATACAGTATTAAAGGGTAAGTAAGTACAAATTGCCCATAAGTCAGATATTCATAACTTGGGGACTGCCTCAATATTTGTACTCATTTTACATTTACTGAGCAAAGTGATTACTGGGTCTTTGGTTAGTGTGTGCTAGTTAGTGTGTGCTTTCTTAATGTAGTAGTGAATTTCTAGTTATACTTCTTAAAAACTTTTTGTCTTATTTGTCTTTTGGTGAAAGCAGAATATTTAACTGAAGATCATCTTTGTATCCTCTGGATCTTAACTAGTTGTGTGAGCATCATTAAATATACAACCTGGATTTCTGCAAGTCAGTTTTAGTGGTTACTCTTGAACTCATCATAGATATTGGTAAATGTTTTTTGAATGAGGTGAACATAGTAAATGCAAGCTGAAATGACTTGTTTTCCAGTTGTTGCCTCTTCAAACCAGCCCATAGTGCCTAAGGCACTTGATTGCTAACCAGAAGGCTGGTGGTTCAAACCCACCAGCCACTCCTTGGATGGAAGGTTGGGCAATCCTACCTCTGTAGTGATACTGCCTCGGAAACCCAAGGAGGGGTCGCTATGAGTTGGGGCTGACTTGACGGCAAACAACAGCCCCTTTGGGTAAAATCCCTAGCAGGTCCCATAGCTTTCAAATTGCTTTCAGATAATAAAAAACCTAGCGTAATATAAACACTTAATTTTCATCCAAGAAAGATTCTTCCATTTTCCAGT